CCAAAACCGTACCTACCTGCCCATCCATCCAGCCCAATACCCCTCCCACTCCTATACAATTTGGTAGCCTCTCCCCCACTATGATTAGTCCTGAATCATCTCCTATCCCCTCCCCACCACCACCTCCACCCATACGCCACCCGATGACAACTCGTGCACGGAGTGGCATCTTTAAACCCAAACTTTACTCCACCTCCACTCAGCCCTCTTCCCCACCTACCACAGAGCCGGTTACATATAAGGAAGCCTCCCAGAATAGTTATTGGTGTCGGGCCATAGATGAAGAATATAATGCCTTGATCAGTCAACACACGTGGGATCTCGTTCCGGCACCTTCAGATCGTGTTCCGATTGGGTGTAAGTGGATTTATAAAATTAAGATGGCTCTGTTTCCAGGTACAAAGCACGTCTAGTGGCAAAGGGATATACACATGAATATGGCTTGGATTACTCTGAAACTTTCAGCCCAGTTGTTAAACAGCAGACTATTCGGTTGGTTTTATCCCTAGCTGTGAATCACAACTGGCCTCTTCATCAGTTAGATGTCTCCAATGCTTTTCTTCACGGAGTTATTCCTGATGAAATCTATATGAAGCAGCCTCCAGGTTATATCGATGAGCGCTACCCTCATCATGTGTGTAAACTACAAAAATCCTTGTATGGTTTGAAACAGGCACCTAGAGCTTGGTATCAACGTCTCTCCGGCTTCCTTACTGACTATGGCTTTGGGAAAAATGAACATGACACAAGCTTCTTTGTTAAGCACTCTCCCTCTGGTGTTCTGATTGTTCTACTCTATGTTGATGACATCATTGTTACTGGTAGCGCCTCCTCCCTCATCTCTTCTTTTATTCATGCTATGCAACAAGAGTTTCAAATGAAAAATCTTGGCCCTCTTCACTATTTTTTAGGACTTGAGGTGACACGCACAAAGGACTATCTGATCCTGTCTCAAGAGAAATATGCCCGTGAACTACTTCACAAGGCCGGCGTCGAGGACTGCAAAACAGCCCCTACGCCGCTGCCTGTTCGGCCCATCGACGAGGGGGAGAGTCCCCCGTTTGACAATCCTACCTTCTTCCGCAGCCTAGTTGGATCTCTTCAATACTTAACTAACACACGGCCAAATATTCAATTTGCTGTGAATTATGTTTGTCAACGTATGCATGCACCCACTGAGCGAGACTTCCAGGCCTTAAAACGTATCCTTCGCTATGTCAAAGGAACCATTGATCATGGCTTAATATTCAGGCGTGGACCACAAGTCATTCAGGCGTACTCTGACTCAGATTGGGCTAATGATATGACTGATGGACGCTCTGTTACTGGTTACTTGATATACTTTGGCTCAAATCTGATCTCGTGGAGTACCGAGAAGCAAAGCCGCGTGTTCCGGTCGTCCACCGAAGCCGAGTACCGAGCACTCTCGGCTACCGCAGCTGAAGTAATGTGGCTCACCTACTTGTTTGACATCCTACAGATTAAGATTCCTCCTCCTCACCTTTTTTGTAATAATCAATCCACCATTTGTCTGACAAAGAATCCTGTCTTTCACATGCGAATGAAACATGTTGGTACTGATTGCCATTTTGTACGAGAACAGGTAATTGCTGAACAAATGACAGTCTCGTATGTTCCTTCCCATGAGCAACTTGCGGACCTTCTCGCAAAAGCTCTATCTTCACCGCGCTACTCTGCATTGGTCGCCAAGCTTCCGCTCGTTTCACGGCGTTCAGCTTGAGGGGGGATGTTAGATAACTATGGTAATAGTTATAGTTATAGAAGGATTGTTATTATAGTTAGTTACCATACTTGGAGAATCCTAATTGATGTAGGAATCTCCATCTATATAAACTACCTTGTACACAACTATTTTCCTTGAGTTGAAATCATAATTCAATATCTTCTATTTACATTATTTATTAATTATTAATCTATCTATCATATCACAGGCTTCATTCGTTCACTAAAACAGTTAATATTTTGACTAATGAGAGAAATATAAAGTATATATTTACGTTTGATTTTTTATTTGTTGGGTAATGGAACCCGGGGGCCTAGGAGACTAGGCGAAAGAGTATCGAACGAGAGTTGAGAATGCTCAAGTTATGAATCAAGTGAGGTTCCAAATATTAGTGTCCAAGAGAACGTGTCTTTTCCCCTTTTCGAAGAGGGGCTTATATACAAATTATAAACCGGCCTTCTTGACCGTTGGTCCATAATCCAATGGGTCGGGCCCACAAAGATCCGGCCATTCGACCGGCGGCGCCAACCATATGATTATCCCTAGGGTGTCTATACAAGATGGGTTACAAATAGGGTGGCTACAACTAATCTGACGGAGGCGTGACAGGAATTCAATCGCAGGCCCCCTAATTTGACCAGTCATGCAGTTTCCCATACGCCGTGGTCCCGGTCCAGTAGCACTTTAGGCAGAGGCCGAGTACGTGCGAATTGGTCTCTGGAGACTTCCGATGAGGAGCCTGCCGACTAAGATCCGAAGCTGAGCACGCTCTCCCGGGGCCGAGTGTGGGCGTGTCCCGATGTGGCAGCTCCTCTAAGACCTTGCTTTCTTTCAATTCTGCCTAGCCGAGTAGGCCTGGTTTGGATTGGGCCATGTTAGGCCGCTATTCCTGTTGGGCTGGATACCCCTATGCCGGGGTATCCATCATGAGTCCCCCACTTCCTAGGCCGAGTGTATCGAGATCGTGTGGTAGAAAAACTTAACATCTTTAGAATAGTTTTAAATAGTTTTGAAAAATTCTTGGCCAAATATAGGAGTCCCCCACTGCTCAACCTTATTGTGAATGAAGGTTGGGGAGTGTTGAAAGGCCGTAAATTTTTACACGTGTCGATTTTTGAAATTCGAAAATCATGATTGCCCGTCGGGATATGCGTCCCTCCATCATATCCTCTTGATATTTGTTCGTGACAGTTCATCATTGTGCACTCAAGATCGTGCCACGTCTTCATTTTACTACGGCGTAACATTTGGTCCGGGTCGGGTCGGGTCGGGTCCCTTGTTAAATATATCTCAAAATCCCCCAAATTTTTTCTCACTCTTCGTTACTTTGTTGCACGTTCACCGTTGTCTATGTCGATTCCTTCTTGCCATCCGTCCAAACTTTGTTCCCCCATCCACATATAAGGTTAGTTCACCGATTCTTATCTTTAATCCATGGCATCTCAAGAGTTCTCACCTGATGTCCGTGTCGTTGACCCGACGGTGGAGTGTTTTGAGGAGATGTATCGGCTAGAGTCGCGCCTACTCATACCAACAACGTACATATTCTTTTTGAGAGCTCATCACCTAGAAACTCCAAAGTTAAGCATGCTTCACTTGCGGGATTCAGTTTCTCTTGTGAGCTAGATACTCCCTCGTCTAGGGTATCTATAAAAACATTTCTTCCTTTTTTAGGATTGTGATACCGAAGGATGTATTGAGAATATTCTTTGGGTCTTTTCAAAAAGGGAGATTTGGTTCTAAGCTTCAGGGAAGTGGATGAGGAATTTTGAAAGATCGATGCATATACATGTTTTTGGTTCAAACTCATTCACAATGTCCCACTTATTTAATGAATAAAAATAATGACACTTCTATTTTAAAAACATTTTACTTTCTTGTAGGCAAATTTCTGAGAGAATGAGTATATCAAATGATTGTGTTTGGAGCCACAATAAATTTTTTAAAATACTAGGAGTACTCCAAAAAGTATACCTCAATTATATGCCAAGGCCAATTACAAACATTTTATATTTGTTTGGGCACAAAAATTATATCTATGCTTGTGTTGATATACAAATTACTTTTTGGTGTTTTCAATTAGAGCCTCCAATCTACTATTGCGGGTTAGTTGGGATAATAGTACCCCGTTGAAATCTTGTCAACATACTTTTACGGTTTTACCAATCGGCGTTTCCGACCGGGTCTCTCGCCGTCCACCGACGTCAGCGGCCGGCACCGTATTTCTATTCTCCTCGCACTTTCTGGTTTTCATAGCTCAAACTCCTTTCGTACGGTACTTCTACTTTATCGTTCCTTTTATTTTTTTTGAATTTTTTAATTACTTGCGGAGGAGTACTACTTTTCGTAGTTCGGCTTAGCTTTCCGAGGTGGCCTGAACCGATTCGTTTGGTGTAAACAGCCAAGATCTGGATAGCTGCGGAAGGGTTGGGGATCAAAACTGAAAAGAAGCATATGTTGATGATCAGGTTCTTAATTTGTATTCTAGTTTCTTGTTCAGTTGAATTGTTAAGCTTGGATCTTGGTTAAATCCGAACCCTAATCTTGCAGACTGGATTCGCTGCTTTATGTACTGACTGCTTTGAGTTGAATTGATTGAGATTTGGAATATCTTTGACTTGAGTTTGAAGATCTTGCATAATTCAGTGGTTTCTTTGAGCTGATTTGTGTTTCCTGTCTAAGTAAGTTCCCATTTCATTGCTCTGGATTATTTTCCTATAGTTTCAAGTCTTACGTAATGATTGAGTCTTCCTGCTATCATTTGCAAATGCTGCATTTTGAGTATATGGCAGTACAGTGAAGAATGGCTGAAATTCATTTCCAAATGCTAACTTCATAGTGTGCTGCTGTGCTTTGTCCATTAGTTTTGGGACTAAGGCTTGCTTGTTTGTTGTTGTCGTCAGCTTTTATTACGTAGAGTAAGGAAAAGATGTAAACTTTGAGAGTCCTCAATAGTTTTTGTAACATATGCTCATTTGCAGGAGAGATTGGTCATATGTGGTTGCTTCAGAAGCAGGATTAAACTCATCCCAAATGAGCTGCGCATAGTTATCTTCTGGGGCATTCGATTGAATCTTTGGATTTTTCTATAATGGGGTCGAACTTAGAGGAAGCACTTGAAGCTAGGGCGGAGGCTGAGAAAAGATTTGCCGACAAGGACTTTGAGGGAGCAAAGAATTATGCCCTCAAAGCACAAACTATCTTTCCCGGGTTGGAAGGAATATCCGAAATGGTTTTAACCTTTGGAGTACATTCTGCTTCTGTGATGAAAACTAATGGAGAAATTGACTTGTATGCAATCTTAGGACTGGATCCTTCCGCAGAGAGAGCTAAAATTAAAAAACAGTACAAAAGGATAGCTGGTTTAATCCATCCTGATAAAAACAAAAGCATTGGAGCAGACGGTGCATTCAAACTCATTTCTCAAGCATGGGCAGTACTCTCCGACAGAGCTAAAAGAAGCTCTTATGATCATAGGAGAAATTCTTCATCCTCTCCCCGCAGCGGGCTGGATACCTTCTGGACTGTGTGTACCTCTTGTCACGTGCAGTATGAATATCTTAGAAAATATGTGAACAAGAGACTTTCTTGCAAGAACTGTCGTGGTGTTTTCAATGCTGTTGAGACGGGGCTGGCCCCAGTGAATGGGTCATACCAATATTCCTCTTGGTCCTATATGCCCAAGAATGGGTATGGAAGCCATGGACATGGGGCCACAGGTGATGGTGTCTCAATGCAGCATTTCAAACATGGTTCAGAGTTTACCACAAATATTTCTTTCCAACAGGTTACCCGAAGTACAAACAGAAAGGAGACTAACGGGAAACAGAATATGGAAAAAACTTCCAATGGGTTAACCTTTTGCAGTGAAAAGCAGCCTGCAAAAAAACGAGGAAGGCCCCCTAAGAGGATGAAAGTTGAGCTTGAAAGTAGTTATGGAAATAATAATTGTGAAGCACCTCCTTGTGGGAATGCTGAAGAAGTGAAACAAAATTATAAACTTCAAGCTGCAAATGACCCCTCAGTTAAGCGGTGTTTGCCGGTGCCTTATTTTGATTCTAGGAAGTTATTGATTGACAAGGCAAGAAGTGTAATACGTAGTAAGCTTGAAGAAATGAACTTGGCTTCAGCAGCTGCAGAGTTGGATAATAAGAAGACAAAAGAACTTTCTGGAATCCATAGAAGTGTGGATCTGGGAACTGCAGAGAATCATCCATCTGAACCGGAAAAAGGTGAAGCCCTGGCAATTACAGTACCGGATTCTGACTTCCATGATTTTGACAAAGATAGAGCAGAGGAATGCTTTAAGCCAAAACAAATATGGGCTTTATATGACGAGGAAGATGGGATGCCCCGCTTGTACTGCCTGGTCCGCGAAGTTATCGCCGTGAAACCGTTTAAGATCTATGTCAGCTACCTGGGCTCCAGATCAGATAGTGAATTTGGGACAGTGAATTGGTTGTGTTCTGGCTTCACAAAATCCTGTGGGCATTTCAGGGCTTATAACTCTGAAATAGTTGACCATGTCAACATCTTCTCTCATCGTCTGGGTAGGGAACGTGCCCGTAGGGGTGGCTGTGTAAGAATCTTCCCCAGAAGTGGGGATATTTGGGCTCTATATAAGAACTGGTCATCAGATTGGGACAGATCAACCCCAGATAAAGTGAGGCACCAGTATGAGATGGTGGAGATTCTTGATGATTATTCTGAGGAACTTGGGGTGCATGTGGGCCTACTGATCAAGTTGGATGGGTTCAAGACAGTTTATGGAAGGAGCACAGAGAAGGGAGGCGTTCGATGGATTCCTAGAACAGAGATGTTGCGGTTTTCGCATATGGTTCCTTCTTGTTTACTGAAAAAAGGTGTTGATAACCTGCCAGCTGATGGGTGCTGCTGGGATCTCGACCCTGCTGCAACCCCAGATGAGCTTCTCCAGGGAACGGTAGAGGACAAAAGAGGAGGTCAACCAGAAAGCCCTTCTAGACACAACAATATAGAGCAAGGCAAGATTGGGGGGCAACCGGAAAGCTCGGCTCTTTCGGGCTTGTCTCATGAATCTATTAGTGAAGTGCATCAGGTTCAAGCTCAGAACCACCTCTTTGAACCTCCCGGTTTCACACAGAAGCTTACTGAACCTCCTGGTTTCACGCAGAACCTTACCGAACCTTCCAGTTTCACCCAGAGCCTTGCTGAACCTCCTGGTTTTGCGCAGAACCTTGCTGAACCTCCTGGTTTCACGCACACCCTTACTGAGCCTCCCAATTTCATGCAAGCTGTGACTGAACCTTCCGGATTCATGCAAACCCTTGCTGAACCTCCAGGTTTTGGGAAGCCCCTTAGTGAACCTCCAGGTTTCGAGCAACCCCTTATTGAACCTCCTGGTTTCAGGCAACCCAGTTTGGAACCTTCCGGTTTCGGGCAACCCCTCATTGAACCTCCCAGTTCTGGGCAGCCCCTTATGGAAGCTCCCGGTTTCGGGCTACCCTTTATGAAACCTCCCGGTTTTGAACAAACGCCCCCTCCCGGTTTCGGTCAAACCCATATCGAACCTACCACTTTCAGGGAAACCCCCGTTGAGCCTGCCCGTTTCGAGCAAACCCCTATTGAACAGCTCATTTTTGGGCAAACCGCTATTGAACCTCCTGGTTTCGGGCAAACCCTTATTGAACCTCCCAGTTTCATGCAAACCCTTATGGAACCTCCCGGATTCCGGCAAAACCTCAATGAACCTCCCAATTTCCCAAACGTATGGGACATTCGAATCGAAAACGAGACTGCCAAACAGAACGAACTCATAAGGTGAGTATGGAGGAAGAACTAAGATTCAATGTGTACAGATTGAACACAGGGAATGAGGAAATGCTGAGACACATGTGGATGGTCGGACTTGACAAGTCACGAATGTTGTAGGCGACGGCTCTGTAATCTGTTTCAAGGTAACTGTAATAGTAATTTCTTTAGATTTATGGACTAGTTTTGGCAAATGTTGACATGTTGTAACATCTTTGATTCATTATTATAGAAAATGAACTTCGTTGCTTCAGCTTTATTATAAAGACATGAGCTGAGAATGTGTCTCCAATGGATTGTTAAAAGACATACAACAACCACTTTGTTTGGAGAATATGAGGTTTGTTAAAAAAACATTTTTTTACGGTAATGGTAATTAGAATATGTTCTGAAATCATGTGTACTATTCTCATAGTCAAATTTCATTCATTTTTTACTAATCATTTTATAAAATAACACACACACATATAGGATTGGTTCAAGTGAGAATGGTCTTACTGCTAGAATAGACTTTATTGTGAGAATGGTGCATTTTTATGCCGTCATGATGCATTTTCATGGCACCTCTTGTTTTCAAGAACTTTTGATGTAGTTTTTAAATATATAAATTTTATACTTCATTGAATTGAAAATAATTTTAGTCAAACATCGTAAATGGGGGGTATTTTCATTCTTGTTTTTTCGTGTCATTTCTCTAATATGGAGTGTTTCTGTTTTTTTATCAAGCTTAGCTCGTTACTCTTCATCCGGTTAAGAATAATTATGCCGATCTTATTAATTTACATTATCAAAAACAATCTTTAGAGCAAAATTTCATTTTAAATGAATCATTGAAGCTTGTCTCAAGATACTCTTAAGCTTGCGAAAAAAATCGTGAATGGCTATAGGCAAATACTTCCACGGTCCTCAAACTCTTTAGTATTAGTATTGAATCATGAAGGTTGTCTCAAAACATTTTCAAGGATTACCGCATGTGGACTTATCTGACGTTGAAATTTAAGAATATTATTTTCTTGTAACATTTTACTAAGTTTATTGTGTTTTTTGAAATTTAAGAGTTATTGAGTACTTATTGTTTTTGCAAAAGAACAATCATGAATGTCTATAGGCAAATACTTTCATTGTCATCATGTTCATTCTAATTATATGAACCTTTCTGATGTGGACTCTTTAGTATTAGTAATAGGATTAGGGGATTAGGACTTTGGGATTAGGATTAGGGGATTAGAATTAGAGGATTAGAATTATGAGATTAGGATTATGACTGGATTAAGATTCATGAATTAAGATTAGGATTAAGATTATGATTAGCATTAGGCACATTAACGTGAGTGAAAAAGACATTTTTCCACATAAGCTTTTAAGCTCAACAATTTTTGTGAGAAGGTCCAAGAATTAGGCGTGGAATTTGAGTGCACGGAATCACCACTCATGGCTATATTATGGAATATGAGTAAAATAATTTGGTTCAATACTTTAATGGTACTTCACTCCATGAATCTCGAAGGAATAGAAATTACACACTTCTTAGTTTACTCTTGGACACAATGACAATTTTTAGTTTTTGTAAAATAAATAGAAATAAAAACTTAAATACGAAGTATGAAATAGAGAAATATATGAGTTTTACTCTTTGATTTCATTTATATAGCTTGTTTAACTTCACTTTATTTTATGAAAATTTACAAAGTGTAGCTAAATCTTGCCGATAAAATATACCTAATATTTAGTAGAGTAAATTCTATAATTGGTTCTTTATAACAGAGGGTTTCCCTATTTCACCTCTATTATCAAATATTATCCCTGTAGTCCTTCTTTTATGGGTACCTTTCCACAAATAGTCCTTTTTTAATCTTCTATCATGTTGGTGTTAATTTGAGGGCTAAAAATGTAATTTCACAATGATAATATATCTTTTTTGTCATACACAATTCCAAAGGCTGTTCCGTTTGCGTCGTTTGTGAATTACAGTCACTTTTTACGACAATGATAGTCTACAAATGTGATCTTTCGTCAGAATCCTAGCCCACAATCATAGTCATTATTTTTGTGTTATTCGCTTAACCAATATCAGAACACGTCACTAGACATAGTGTTGATGTCAAATTATACTTTTAGCCTTTAAATTAACACCAACACGGCAGAAGATGAAAAAAAGGACCATTTGTGGAAAGGTACCCTTAAAAAAAGGACTACGGGGGTAATATTTGATAATAAAGGACTAAATATGGAAACCCTCATGTTATAAAGGACCAATTATGGAATTTGCTCTATTTACTAACATGAAGAATTCAATATCATTATATCTATTTTGAAAAGTCAACTTTGAAATATCATACCCCTTTGCCCACAATTTTTCTTCATTTTTATCCATCTCAAAACAATTTTTTTTCTTTCATTGATGCGCAGTTTGTCAACTATTGTTTGATGCAACCATAGTCTACAAATGTTGTCTCTAGTCTAAACTCCTAGTCCACAACCATAATTATTACTCCATCCGTCCCAATTTAAATCATCTGTTTTAGTTTACGATGTTTGACTGGAATTATTTTCAAATCATTTTATATGAAAAACGATGTAGAATTAAAAAATAAAAATTATACGTTTAAAAATTACATCAAAAGATCTACATAAATAGTGGTGACATGACTATACTATTTTATCAAATGACTAACGAAAATAAGAAAAAAAAGTGAATAAAGTTTGGCCTTATAAATACTCCGTAATAAACATGCAATTTAATTTGGGACGGAGAGAGTATTATTATTGTATTGTCCGTCAAGCCGATATCAGAATATATCACTAGACATAATGTCAATGTAAAATTACTTTTTTAACCCTCAATTTAACACCAATATAACAGAAGATAAAAAAACGATCTGTTGAAAAAGATAGCAATAACAAAAGACCACAAACATAATATTTGATAACAAAAGACTAAGAATGAAAAATTTTGTTCTAAAGAATTGATTATAGAAATTACGGCTAAAGTCTACCATTAGTCCTTCAAATATTCATCAGCCTTCCAGATACAGCCCCCTTTTGACGGTACATGTTAAAAACTTAACGACTAATAATAAAATGACCAAAAAAGGTTTCTTCGTTCACGCTCAACTTCAGAACTCGCTATACATATTCACCACTTGGCAATTCTCTTTCAATAACTTCATCTTCAGTTTCCTCTCTATGTTAATTTACACTGCTTCTTAGATGTGATTAGCTGCGTTTTAATGGCGGAGGAAGGGTAAGAGGACTAGCTATAGGGTAAGAGTAATCAGTGAACTCAGCTACGTTTTGGTAAATTTCTTATCAGTCGTTTAACTTTTAACATGTACCGTTATAAAGAGAGCTGACAAGTGACAAATACTTGAAAGATACTCCGTATTTATGAACTGTTGAAATTTAAAGGATCAATTGTGCACAACTTATAAAATTAAAAAATCAATAATGAATTTTAGCCTAAAAATTTATAAAGTTAACATTACATGTGTAATTGGTAAAAAATCGTCTTATATAAGAGTAAAACATAGAGAAAATATCAAAATAAGAGATTCATACGAAGTATTTTTATTCCTTAAATAAAAATTCACACTTTAGTAATGTGCACTGTGAATGAGCACTTTAATATATTTTTTGGTAATTTAGAAAATTATGATTGGTAATGTAAATACATTTTAACCTCTATTTCAAGAATAAAAATATAAAACTCTTATTTTGATATAGTTTCAATATTTTACTCATATTTTAATCTTCTTCCCTAATTGGTAACAAACTTCAATCTCATATACCGAGTACACTACAACAAAGTACAGAACATTAAAAAAATATGATTAACATCTTTTCAACAATTTTCTTAGTCTTTTTATAAAATTAAAGTGCAAATAGTATAAATTTAAAATGCAAAGAATGCATTTTTAAATACTACTTCCTCCGTCCCAATTTAAATCGCCTGTTTTGACTTTTGTACATATTTAAGGTAAATAAAAAATAGAGTTGATTTTCCAAAATTGTCATTACTTTTTAGAAAGAGTGATGATCAATGAAAAGATAAAGCGAAAAAGAGTGACTTATTCTAGGGGTAGTTTAGGTATTTTATTTTTAAAAATTTACGAAAAGAACTAACAGGCAACTTATTTTGGAACAGAGAAAAAGACAAACAGGCAATTTAAAATGAGACGGAGAGAGTATATTATATTATACTCCGTATTTTATTATAAACCCTAAAAAACCGTCTAAATTGGAGAACATGAGTACTTCTGGTTCATCATTTTCTTGCCTCTGAAAATTTCAAATATTAACACAATTCATTTAGATTTCCCTCGTTAAATTTTGAACAATATCAAAATCATTTGTAACCAAAAAAAATAAAATAAATTAGTAGCTCTGCTAATGATCGCTTTTACCAATAGAAAGTAGTAGTTGATTTTAAATACTACCAAAAATACCGCAAATGGGAGTCATCTTCTAAGAAGGGTCGAATAAAATGTTGCTGCTTAAAGCACACAGCAACATCAACCAAAACATGCATCTTAATGTTCAAAATAACATCCTTAACTAGGATTGAGGCAACTTCAAGCACTGAAAGTTGTCACATACTCTCAGCTTTACTTTTGGCCTCCTGCTTCTGCGGGCTCCACCACCTCGGCCTCGACTGTGTCCGGGATGATGTTTTGTGTTTGGGGCGATGAATACTGACGGAAATCAGGCGAAGCTCCTCCTCCCCATTTGCCCGATAGGGCCATGCTCATCATGCCATAGATCTTACCTCCAAGCTCAGCTGGATTATCGGGCTGTGTTCGCATTGATGAGAAGAGCAATCAGAAAAATTGTTGTAAATTTATGAATGGTTTGGTTAACTTCGGAACGTTAATGGATGGGGAGCACAAACACTCGTATGCCCCTACATTAATTTTTCTCAAATAATTGTGCATATTTCTGAGGGTATTTCTGTTTGATGTCCACTTTTTTTTCCTTAACCACAAAGAATGTGTGTGTGTGTGTATTGATGTTTGTGAAAAAACATATCACAAGTGTCGATGCAAGTGAAATAAGATGTGATACTCACAGTGAAACCACTGCAAACCAAAGCCGTGTCGTACAAAAGATCAATTGCTCGCAGGGCTTCTTCGTCATTGGGGCTGTTTTTGGATGCCTCCTGTACCATTTAAAGTAGAGACATTATCAAAATACAAAAAAGATGGGAAAGTGGATTGGCATAAACCATCTTGATGATTCAACCAAACTCACATTCAATGTTCTGATGATAGGGTGGTTAGGATTTATCTCAAAGACCCTCCTGCTTTTCATAAATGCAAAGCTAGAGGTATCGCCAGCACTTTGGGCCTTCATCAGCCTGCAAGGATCACAT